TGGAAACTCTTGATGGCCATCTGTTTCTAGTACTTTTTCCATCTGTCCTCCACTGTGATTAAGGAAGTCACCTAAAGCTAAAGAGATGTGTTAGCCAGCCTTATCAAAATAAATAAAGCAATAAAGAAATTGTGAAGTTACAATGCATCCATGAAGAGTTTATCCTTTTATCTTGTCTTCTAATCTATATTTCTTCTCTGGAAGATTGGAATTATCGGAGGGACAGGTCTGGATGATCCTGAGATATTAGAAGGTCGAACAGAGAAACACATTGATACGCCATACGGAAAGGTGTGTATAGGTAACAAAGCTATCTTTGTTTTGTGTGTGTATATTGTGCTAGGGAAAACACATGAAGTAGAGCCATATTTCCAAGGATTCCTCATAGGTTTTTATGAAAAAATACCCAGTACCTTTGCAGCTTGATTGCATTTTTAACATAGCTTGATTAACACTTGCAAGGGGATTCCATGGCAGCTGGCTGTGGGGCCACGAATTCAGCTCTCCTTATTTAACACATGAAAAAGGCTTGTACATATTGGGTACGTACAGTGGGACAGATGTATTCACAAGTGTGACTTCATATAGGTTTCAGATTTATCAGCTACTGTCCTCTTCATGACTTCTCATAGAATCTCATACCGGTGGAATATTTCTCATAGAATCAGAGCTGGATCCCCTCCTGCTACTTACTGATGCTGCAAAATTGTCTTTCTGGGATGTTCTGTACTTTGAATTAGCCTCATAGCATTCACTAAGAAACCCAAGCGGTCAGGTCCCAGAATAGCCATTTATTGCTTGGTGGCCTGCTGCTATTGATCCTGTAATTCAGCTCGGCAAAGATGGAGATATGGGGATAGGGGGAAAAAGGGATGTCTTCGTGTGCAAGCGTATGCCACTTCCACGAATGCAGCTTTGGGCATACACATATGTGTATGCACGTACGCTTGCCCACTGCTTCTATGGCCCAGTTGCAAATGGGCTGCTGCCCTGCACCAGGTCATGGGCGGGGGGTTGGGGACCCCTGCTGGAATTGTAATATTCTGAAGAATGTACAACGTGACTTTGTAATTGGTTTTTGTACATTTAATTTTGGCTGGCAGCAAAGTCTGTCAAAACCTATTGAGATTCATTTCTGCATGTGATTTAATGTGTAGGATTGTAGTGCCTAATGGATTTCCATTTTGATCCTGCATTAGTGGCAAATCAGATTTTTTTTAATTTGTTGGTGGGGTTTTTATGATGCTTCTGTAGTATATGATTGAATGTGGGTTGTTTTCAATTCCAGCCATCTGATGCACTGATTTCAGGAAAGATAAAAAACATTGACTGTGTGCTTCTATCCAGGTATGTGAAATTCCTTTAAAACACATGAATTAGCGTTGCATTAAAAAAAAACGATGTGCCGTTTATCATAATCAAGCCAAACTTGCTAACAATGCAAATTGGATTGACATCTGCTCTGCAAAAGTTACCTTGTACCATCATCTCTTCTTGCTTTCTAGAGGCTCACCAATCTGGCAGCTGATAAAAGGCATAGTATGGGTGGTGGGAAGTAGCAGCTTTCACAAAAAATTACATAATCACCATGAATCGCCTATCTTGAGTTTGAAGATTATATCAATTACTCTAATCTTCCAGATACAGGGTTATATACTTTATTGAACTGGGGACGGGATGGTTCAGTGGTTAAAGTCATTGAGCTTATCAGTTGGAATGTTGACAGTTGGGGTTCAAGACTTGAGCGCCACGCGACAGGATGAGCTCCCGTTCCTTGCTCCAGCTGCGGCAAACTTAGTTTGAAAGGATGCAAATAGATAAATAGGTACCACTTTGGTGGGAAGGTATCCGCGTTCCATGCCTCTCAGCTGGCCACAGGACCATGGAAATTGTCTTCGGATAACAGTGGCTCCCTTAGCCAAGAAACAGAGATGAGTACCACCCTCTAAAAGTCGGATACAACTGGATAGGGGAAACCTTTATTGAATGGAGTAAGTTTCTTAATTTATGCTTTTTCATTTTCTTATGAGCTTCCTTGCCAAATGAACTATGATTTAGGATAGAGAAACCAAGGACTCCAAGAAAAAAAAAGTCCCTTATGGGTATAAGCATGATAAAGGCTCTCAGTCCAAACACTTTTTTTAAAAAACAAAAAATCTAAGATATGAACCAAGAACTTCATGACCTGCAGCTTGAGGTCTGCTCATCTGGTCTACAAGGTGAGTAACATAGATAATCTGCCCATTCTGGATTGACCACTCTAGAAGCTTATAATAAGTGAGTTCAGGGACTGCAACAAGGGGCCACCATGTGGTAAATCCCAGTTTGACTTCTTCTCACCCTGGTCTTGGTGACCAGTATTCTCCTCAATTCACATTTGCATAAGGTTGGGATAAATTATCCGTAGCTCCAATGAAACTCAAAGCCCCTGCCTGAGAAAAGTGCTCTGGGGAATCATTTCAACCAATGAGCTGTCCTATAGACAAAACAACGATACAGTTTCAATGCCATTACAATGAAATGAAACGTAATTTTTTTCTATCCCACCTCACTTTCTGAATGTGCCTCTTGTCCTGTCACTCAAAAAAGGCCAGATATGAGCCTTCAACCTGAAAACACTCCGGCACGGTCTGCTGTGATTGCAGTGCGGATGTCAAGAAGCAGTATTGTCCATGTATTATTCTCCATTTTTATATTCTGTTTTTAGTCTTAACCAGATTCCTTCTCTCTCCTCTTTCCCTAGGCATGGGAGGCATCATTCTATCATGCCAACAAATATCAATTTCCGTGCCAATATGTGGGCACTAAAAGAAGAAGGTTGCACTCATCTATTAGTGACGACTGCCTGTGGTTCATTACGGGAAGAGATTCAGCCCGGAGATCTTGTTATAATTGACCAGTTCATAGACTGGTAAGTGGGGGTGGGGTGAAATCTGGTTCTGTGTAGAGTTAGAACTAATAGGAAATAGAATCAAGTCTTAATATGGCAAGAGATTCTGCTAACTTTGATACCATTCCAAAAATCGACTTCTGTCAAATGCATTAAGTGCTATTTTTAATCAGTAATGGCTAGCACATTGTTTTATTCCAAGAAGAGAGCTAACCTCTCATGCAGAAGTATGTACAGGAAGAGGAGGAGAGGTCTCAGGGGATTAAGAAACTGCCGTACATTTCTCCATATCACTGTACGATGATACCCCACCCCAGAAAAACAATCCATCATGCTGCCTTACTTATTGAAAGACTTCTGTCCTTTGGCAGCGTTGAAAAAGTATCGGGCTGCCTTCCTATTTGTCTTTCTCTCCTTCTTAGAGAACAAAATGTCTTGGATAAGTCTATTCTGCTGAGATTCCCCAGCTCTTCCGCCAAGTTCGCAAGAAAGGAAAGTACAAGGGTGGGGAAGCAGGAGATAATCTGTGGCTAGGAAGAGAGAATACATGGACAACAGAGGGAGAGAGGATGGAAGCTTTAAAAAAACATCAAGATGTTTGAATGTATTTTTAAAGTAATTGGGAAAATGACACATTCCCCTCTTTTTGCAGGTGGAGAGATGTAGAGGATATTTTTCTGACCTCACACTGACCCTTTAATTTACTGTTGTTTATACATGCAATTTATAAAAAACAACCCTAACTCTTCTTAATTTACTGTTTTTGATAGATGTAATTTATTAAAAATATGAATTATCACTGCTCAAAAAAATAAAGGGAACATCCAGACCTGTCCCTCCGATAATTCCAATCTTCCAGAGAAGAAATATAGATTAGAAGACAAGATAAAAGGATAAACTCTTCATGGATGCATTGTAACTTCACAATTTCTTTATTGCTTTATTTATTTTGATAAGGCTGGCTAACACATCTCTTTAGCTTTAGGTGACTTCCTTAATCACAGTGGATGACAGATGGAAAAAGTACTAGAAACAGATGGCCATCAAGAGTTTCCA